TCATAAATATATTATATTCTAGCATGTGAAAGGATCCTTGGTAGCACAGTAGGGTAAGCATTGGGCTGCTAACTTGAAGGTCAGCAGTTTGAACCCCCCAGATGCTCTGCAGGAAAAAGATGAAACAGTCTGTCTCAAGTTAGATTCACAGCCTTGGAAAACCTTAGGGAGCAATTCTATTCTGCTAACTCAGAAAGAGTGGGTTTTTTGTTTTTTGTTTTGTCTTGCCTATGAATGTACCTAATGATTACACTTTTCAACGATTAGAGATATAGGTCTTTTTTCCCCCCTCTTTCAATTTTATAAAGTCAGAAATTTATTTTAATTATTTAGGCTTATCCAGAATCTGCAAGAAAAGACTGGGTTCGAGAGTGGCCTGGCCAAGTTGTACTTTGTGTTTCTCAAATGTTCTGGACTTCTGAGACACAAGAAGTTATAAGTGGTGGGCCAGAGGTAAAGCATTATTTTATTTTAAATAACAACATTCTTTTTTCCATTCCATTTTTAAAGTTAGCTTCTCTTTTTTTTTTTTCAAAGGTAACTCCCTACCTCAGTTTCTATATATAGTATTGAAATTATGCATTTTTTGAATATTTGTTCTTAATATTTTATTAAGTGTACACAGAATCACTCTATTCCAGAACTCATTTCTGTTTTGAGATGGATTATGAAATCAGAATTGTTCTGTCCAAGAGTAAACATATGGGATGCATGTTATATGTACTATATAACATCAATTTAACTTTCGTGTTTTCTAGGGATTAAAAAAGTACTATAAGGAACTTCAGAATCAACTAAATGATATTGTAGAACTAGTAAGAGGAAAACTGTCTAAGCAGACCAGGACCACCCTGGGGGCTTTGGTTACTATTGACGTCCATGCTAGAGATGTGGTCATGGACATGATTGAGAAAGGTATGGAACATTTTTCTTAAATATTAAACTATCAACTGCCTCTAGAAAGCAAGATTTAGACTATATGTCTTTTTTTCTTGTACAGAATTTCTCTTATGTGATCTTTTCAGTAAGTTGGAAAACATGAATTATTTTTCAGATTTGCTGTTGTAAACTAAATACTGGTTTTTAGAATGATTTCCATTTATCTGTCTTATTTTTATTCTTTCCAGGTGTCTCATGTGACACAGATTTCCAGTGGCTTGCTCAACTTCGATATTATTGGGAATATGAGAATGCTCGAGTTCGTATCATTAATTGCAATGTAAAATATGCCTATGAATATCTTGGTAACTCACCTCGACTTGTTATTACTCCTCTAACAGACAGGTGTTACAGAACATTGGTATGCATTTAAATTATTTTAATTCACACACAAATGATTACTTTTTGGTACAGTATCATATTTTCTTGTCCAAATTTAACATTACTAGTCTTGGCTCTGTAGTATAAGTACTGGACTGCTAACCTATTGCATATTCTACAGTTCAAAACCACCAGTCTCTCTCAGAAACCTTTACAGGGTCTCTGTGAGTTGGAGCTGACTCTACGGCTTACTAAAGCAGCAGCAATCTTTATCTGAAAAGTTGAAACAGCTACCCCTTCCTAATTCCAAATTCTCTTATGTAAGTTATATTCATGGATATTTCCTTCTGGGTAGCTTTGTAGCATATAAGAGTGTTTGAAGTCTAATGTGTGAAAATTGTGAATTACTCCCATTGGTGACTAGAAAATAAGGTACTAGAGAAATGAGGGGACTTCAAAAAGTTCATGGAAAAATGGAATTAATAGAACTTTTCCACAGACTATTTAAAGCCCTCTCCATACAAGGAGACAACAAAAACTTCAAAAAATGGTGTCGATTTTTGAACTGTAATCCTTGGAGAGTTGATAGGAAGATGAGACAACTTATTTGGGCCCCCAAACTCTTAACTTCGGGCCCCAAAACTGCTCCTGAATTGGAGGGAGAGAACTGAAATGTAAGGGGATGGTGTTGAAAGTCTACTATGTTTGGCTGGTAAGCCATGGAAGATAGAGCAGTAACTATTTAATACTCTAGGAATAAGGTTCCAGGATTAATAGGGTTTTTTTAGTATTGTTGTGGTTAGGTGACATTGAGTCAGTTGTGACTCATAGGGACCCTTTATAGTGTTTCGGAAACTGTAAATCTTTGTGGGAGCAGAAAGCCTCATCTTTCTCCTGTGGAGCAATTGGTGGACTTGAATAGCAGTCCAGTGTTTATCCTATGGCAAGACTGTGCTCCCTCCACCCCTTTAACAAATATTATTGTGTCCTAAATATTGCATAGGACATACTTAATAGTTAAAAAAATAATCACTCGTTGCTTATCTAAAATTCAACTTTAACTGGGCATCATGTATTTTTATTTGCTAAATCTGGTAACCGTATATGGGGACTTAGGAAGAGCATCAAGAAACACCAACTCACCTATGCTCAGCAAATAAAATTAAAATGTCTTAGATTGAATTGTTTAAAAGCAGAAATGAAATGGGGATTCTAGAGCAAATGTTTTACTTAGAAAATACTCAGTGAAAACATATAATGAGGTGAAGAAAGCAGAATGGGATAGGCACAACATTGCATAGCCTTAAACTGATTTCATGGAGCACTTTGGAGCATGAATGGCATCATAGAGTTATCTTACTTAATGCAATGGGATCTGACTTTTATACCCTTTTATTGTTATTGTGTGTCTATGAATTTTTCTACAAACTTTTTGAAGGTCCCTTGTACAGCACTAGACTCTGAAATTAATTTTCCTGTTATATTTATTATCTATAATAAAAGGAGCACATTTATTAGCATTTGCTTGAAATTTTATAGAATGGAGGGCCTGAGGTTTCTAGCAAATGTTCATAGATATTAACAATATAGCACCCATTGTACATTTCAGGTAGATAGAGTATCATTGATAGTGTCTTTATTTAATGAGTTGTGTTTATTGTCTAATTTTAATAAATGTAAATATATTTATGATTTTCATGGTTTATTTCAGCCTTGATCCCTTAACCTTATTTTTTTCTAAGCAACGTTATGTTTCATAATTTCCCAGGTAGATTTTATGAAATAAATTCCATAGTTAGAAAGAAAACAGACTGTAATTTGTGTGCTTCTAAAAATTTGTAGTGTGATAACTCTGTAGGATAAACACTGTACTATAAACCACAAGATATGTGATTTGAGCACATCAGCTGCTCTTGGGGCGAAACATGAGGCTTTCTGCTCCCAGAAAGATGTAAAGCCTCAACCTATATAGGTTATTAGTTGGAACCAACTCCACGGCAGTTAACGACAGCAACATCAAAGATTTCCTGCAGCTTGTAGTGTATATACCCTTTGGTTGGTTGATGATGCATGAAGGGGATTGTAACCATGGCAATGAAATGTTATACGATAGGATGAACATAAAACTAATGTTTTCCCATGTAAACTATCATATAATTCACAATAAAACATTAAAAAAAAAAGAAGACCACCAGAATTGACATGATTTTGACCAACAGCATATGCATTGATCATTGACTTAAGTGAAATAAATTTTTTCCAAAGTTAAAAAAAAAGATTTCTTGCAATTGTTTTTGTCTCTGGGAGAAAGCAGAAAGAAATCCTATACTATTTATGTTGTCTTTATAGAATATTAACAATTGACTAATGAGGGGAAAACGCAGAAAATTAATTATAATACATAATAGAAAGTGATATGACTGGCCAGAGAGGCACAGAACAGTGTTACAAAAGTATAGAAAATTGAGACCATACCAAGAGTGTCAGACAATAGGTAAATCATAGGCAAAATCAGGTGCTAGGTCATCTGTTTCTCTATCATTTGATGGACCCCTTTATAGCGCCCACTCCCAGGTTTTTACCATCTTTGCAGCTAGCCATCCAGAAAGTCTTGTTATTGTAGTCTACACACGTCTCCTTAACCACTTCTAATGAATACTTTCTGATCTAATCTTACTCCCTCAAGGCTAGATTGTCTTTAAAGGTAAATGGGATCTATCTGAAGTATTAGAATATAAAGGGCTCTTAATGCGTTTTCACTTTTCTTTGGGACCCTCTAAACTGTTTTGGGGGAGCATGGTGACTGATGGATAAGCACTGGACTGGGAATCACAAAGTTGGTTGTTCAGCTACTCCACAGGAGAAAGAAAAAGCTTTCTGCTCCCTCAAAGATGTATAGCCTTGGAAACGCTATACAGGATTGCTGTGAGTTGGAACCGACTCAGTGGTACTTAAAAGCTAATGACTTTTACTTTGTGCAGCTGAAAATTAACAATATAATCATTTAACTAATTCTCTGAAGCTACAAATGAAACTATGTCTACTTGGGGAGCAATTGTTTATTGGCATGAGTTTCTTTTCATTTTTCAGATAGGTGCCTTCTATTTAAACCTTGGAGGTGCTCCAGAGGGGCCAGCAGGCACAGGAAAAACTGAGACCACCAAGGACTTGGCTAAAGCTCTTGCAGTGCAGTGTGTGGTGTTCAACTGTTCAGATGGACTAGATTACCTGGCAATGGGAAAGGTAATAAAAACACTTAATTACTAATATTCAACTTTACAAACTAACAACTAGAGCTAGCTGGGTAAACTGACATCATGTTTAAGCATTATTTGAATGTGAGTAATTTGTTAACTTTCAACTCCACTTCTTTTTTTTTTTTTTAAATATATTTAGTTTTTTAAAGGACTGGCTTCTTCTGGTGCTTGGGCGTGCTTTGATGAATTTAATAGAATTGAGTTGGAAGTGTTGTCAGTGGTTGCTCAACAGATCCTTTGCATTCAGAGAGCCATTCAGCAGAAGTTGGAAGTATTTGTATTTGAAGGAACAGAACTTAAACTGAATCCAAACTGTTTTGTAGCTATTACCATGAATCCTGGCTATGCAGGGCGTTCCGAGTTGCCAGACAACCTTAAGGTAATATTTTTTAAGTGTGGAAATTTGTTAATGAAAAAATATCAACATGATCATTTCAAACTGTTCTAATTTTCTCCCATGTGTTTGTAATTTCCCTTTTACTTATTCCATATATTGTGAGGCAGGCTCTTAATCACTTTTCAGTTGAGCACATGGTTCGGTTTTCAGCCACATAACAGACAGGTCTATAGAGGGAACCGTAACACTAGGGAGGTCCGCACACCTCAGAATAATCAACCATTTGAGATCACAAGGGCAGTATTTACCCAAGGACTAAGTTCAGAAGGGTTAGGGAAGAAGGAGGAATGGAAACAGGAAACATAGGGAGGAAGTGTGATAAGTGATGTTACGTTGTGGGGATTGCAGTCAGTGAGATGAAGCAAAAGGTTTATGAATTATTGAATGAAAAACTGGTTTGCTCTGTAAACCTTTACCCAATTCACATTATTGTTGTTGTTACATGCCATGGAGTCGATTCTGACTCACAGTGACCCTGTACAGGGTTTCGGAGGCTGTAAATCTTTACAGGAGCAGAAAGCCTCATCTTTCTCCCGTGGAACAGCTGGTAGTTTCGAACTGCTGGCCCTGAAGTTAGCAGCCCAATTCGTAACCACTATGCTATCAGAGCTCCTTCAATTCATATTAGAAGGTTAAAAAAAGCAAAAAAAAATTCTTATATAAACAAGATGATGTTAAAAATTAAAGTACATAAACAACTGAAGTAGCACTAGAAAATTATAGAATTACTAAAAAATACAGCTTATAAAACATGCTGTCTTCGAGCAATGAACTTAAATATCAACATAGTGTCATTGGATGCTTATGTCAGCTTTAAAAACAGTCTCCATTATATAAATAATGTATTTAGCTTATTGTGTTTCAGGTTCTTTTTAGAACAGTGGCTATGATGGTTCCAAACTATGCCCTTATAGCAGAAATCTCCCTATACTCCTATGGATTTTTGAATGCAAAGCCTCTGTCTGTGAAGATAGTAATGACCTATAGGCTTTGCTCTGAGCAGCTCTCATCACAATTTCATTATGACTATGGAATGCGAGCAGTAAAAGCAGTATTGGTGGCTGCTGGAAACCTAAAATTGAAATATCCAAATGAAAATGAAGACATACTTGTAAGTACAAAAATGCTGAATGTTTCAGTAAAAACATAATTTATAGAACTTCTTTATAATGAGGTTGATCAGGAACTGTAAGTAGACAATTGTTGCTTCAATTCATTTCATATGGTGTTGTAATGATACTTTTTTGGCTTATGTTATTTGCTATATATGAATAAAAGAATCTTTTTGGCTTAAAAAACATAAAATTTAAAAGATGTCTGTACACATGGACATCACTTGATGAAACACACAAAAATAAAATTGATTTAGTCTATGGAAATAGACAGTGGAAGAGCCAAAACAATTCCAGGGGCAGATGTTGGAACAGATCATCAATGGCTCATATACAAGTTCAGGCTGAAGCTGAAGAAAATTAAAATAAGTCTACGAGAG